TAGCCGGAATTACAGGCGCGCGCTACCACGCCCAGCTAATTTTTGATTTATTGTAGAGATGAGGTCTCGCCAAGTTGCCCAGGCAGGGCTCGAACCTGCGGGCTCAGGCAATCCACTCACCTCAGCCTCCTAAAGGTGGAGAATTACAGGCTGAGCCACCGAGCCTGGCTTGCTATTTGCTCTTAATCCTTTTTTTTTTGAGTTGAAGTCTCACTCCATCGCCAGGCTGGAGTGCAGCAGCACGCTCATGGCCACCCCAGCATCGACCTGCTGGGCCCAGGCGACCCTTCCGCCTCAGCCTTCCAAGTAGCTGGAACTACATGTGGCCACTGCCATGCCTGGCTAATTTTTTTATTTATTGTAGAGATGAGGTCTTACCATATTGCCCAGGCTGTTCTCGAACCCTTGGGCTCAGGCAATCCTCTCTCCTCAGTCTCCCAAAGTGCTGGGATTATAGGCTTGAGCCACCATGCCCAGCCTCACTCTTACCCTTATCGCCCACGACGAGCTACATGGAATAGACCTTTCCCTGTTGCCTCAGCCTTGTTCGGTATGAAAGTACATCACCATCGGAGATCTCTGAATGTGACCTGAGAGGAAACTGTTCGGTAGCTTTGCTGGGGTCAAGGGCCCTCTGCGGAATGAGTCTCCAAACGTGCATTGGAGGGGTCCTGCTGCTGACCAGAAGGCACCACCTCCGTCTCTAGGGTGGGGTAAGAAACAAAAGCATCAAGAACCACACCTACCCAACACCCTCCTCCTGAACTGCCTGCAGACCAGGCAATATTTCCCTGTCAAAGGCAGAAAACCAATACCAACCCACTCCTCTCATCAAAAGCAGAGAGAAGTCAATCTCGTATCCCCAAAGAGGAGGTTACTTGGGCTTCACCCTTTAGCATATCAATTAAGAAACTTGAAGACAAGCTACAGGGACAGACACATATGGGCTCAGGAATTCACTGGTACAACGGTGGAAACTGCCTCGATTCCTGCAGTGAGTATCGAGCACTGTGACAGGTAGGCACAGTTCTATGACCCCTGTTCAGCGGGAGGCACTACAGAAGACTGACCCCATCCCTATTCCCAGACAGACCCCCCCAATGCAGCAATCATGTGACTATCCCACCCATCTGCCTACTGTCCATCACCTGACATCAGTACATGAGCTTATCAACCCCTCCGTGATGACATGGAACAGACTGCCACTCGATCACTTTAACAACCTGCCCCCTTCAAAGGGGAATGTTTAAAAGCATTCAACTTCGAGCCATTGCCTTACTAGACTCTGGTATGGCCATGTGCTCTTTGAGCTATGGCTACCACCATGTTTCTTGGCTTTGGCCTCCTTCCCTACCTTGGGGAGGCGAATCTCCTCTCTCTTTCTCTCTAATGTACTTCTTAAGTAAACTAAATTTTCCAATCTAAATAACAACAAACGTAACTAATCTATAACTTGCTTCTCTACAAATACTCTTTGTCAGAAACCAAAAAGAAAACTTCCCCAAACTGCTGTGACAAAATGGGTAGGGGTACAGAAATCCCAAGCAATAAGTCCCTCAACAGTGGAATAGAAGAGTCTCACCTTTAGCTCTCAAGTTAAAAAAAAAAAAAGAGTTCATTCTTAAAGAAAGCAAAGGCTAGAATCTGCAGTACTTCCAATACAGACACTGATGAAAAACCAGAAATATACTTAAACAAAACAGCTATTCCAATGGCGTTTTGTTCTCTCCCAGTGGAGCCGTTTAAGCCTGGAACACAAATGTCACCCTCAATGCTCCTCTTCCTTCTGCCTTTGTAAGTGAGCTCTTCTCTAGCTGATCCACAGCCCTAGTCTGGCTGCCGTAACTGTTTGCATAGCAACTGCACCATACCGTCTCCTATCTTATGTTCCCACCCAACTCCAGCCACACTTCATTTCTTTCAGTTCCTGGAATTCTTCATGCTATCCCTCACTTCTGAGTCTTCAAATATACTTCCTCCTACGCTGGACATTCACACAGACAAGTCACTGAGCTAGTTTTAGTGGTGGCCAGAATAGAGTCTTAAAATGCTTTATTTTAGCCTACATTCTAAGATACCATTAAGCTATTTTCCTTAATACTAATTTTTTTTTTTTGAGTTGTGGTCTCACTCTGTCACCCAGACTAGAGTGCAGTGGCACACTCATGGCTCACTGCAACCTTAAACTCCTGAGTTCAAGAGATTCTCCCATCTCAGTTCTCCCTCCCCCAGAGTAGCTGGGACTACAGGTGCACACCACTATGCCTGGCTAATATTTTGTAGAGAGGAGTTCAAGCTATGTAGCCCAGGCTGGTCTCAAGCTCCTGGACTCAAGCAATCCTCTTGCCTTGACCACTCAAAGTGCTGGGATTATAGGCATAAGCCACCGTGTTGTGTCCAGCCTTTGAAATATATATTGTTAAAATTAGAGACAGGGTCTTGTTATGTTGCCCAGGCTGCTCTCAAATTCCTGGGATCACATGATCCTTCTGCCTCAGCCTCCCAAAGTGCTGGGATTACAGGCACGAGCCACAATGCCTAGCCATTTTTTAAAATGCCCAGAATGATCTCTAAACTCTGCATCATCAAAGCCAATAAGGTTAGTATAAATACTTTTTTCTTGAGTTTACATAAAATTGAAAGCAAATATGGGCAGTATTCCTCAGTTGTACCAGAAGAACCCCAAGCAGTTAGAACTATTTATAAGGAAAAGAGAAATCTAAAAATTCAAATACAAGTGCAATAAAATATATTTTAGAGGGCACTATAAAATTCTAGGAATCAAAACTTATACATGGGAATCTAGACTCTATTCATCATAATGAAATTCTCAAATTATATTGTCTATCGTTGCAAGAATCAAAAATTCAAAGGCCATACTAATTGTAAAGTGACTTAGAAAACAAAAGCAGGAAAACCAGGGCTTCATTTAGTGTTCTAATATTCTCGATGTCTTTATCATCAACTGTCATTTAACTAGTGACTTTTAAACTGCATATACTTTGGCCCACAGCTTTAGTGGGAACACTCTCAAAGAAATTTAATTTCTAGCTCCACTGGCCCACATTTTTTTTCTAAGGAAGTGATTGTTGGTGTGACCTGAACTCAAGCTGCTGGGACTGCCCTTTTTTAAATTTTACTTTTTAACATTTCCTTTTTTTTTGAGTCAGGGTCTCACTCTGTCACCTAGGCTGGTCTTGAACTCCTAGGCTCAAGCAACCCTTCCAACTTGGCATCCAAAGTGCTGGGATTATAGGCATGAGCAACCATGCCCCGCCTGGGCCTGCCCTTTACAACAACTATTCCAAATTGTTACAAACCAAACGAAATCTGTCAACAAATCATTACACGGACTGATGGGTGAACTGGCAACTCTACTTCCCCTGCTACTTCTCAAAACAAGGTCTGGGAACAACGGGCACGGCATGCCAAAAGATAGGCACCGGCCTCATCAGAAAGCCAGTGCCACCCAGTGTGGGGAGGGCCCAGGGAGCCAGTGTTCTCACTACTGCCGATTAGACTGTGAAACAGCACCACTTTCTGTGGAAAAACTTACAGTATCCACCACAGTTTAAAATACAGACCCTTTGATCCAGTAATCCTACTTCTAATTATTTATGCTTATGCAAATGTACACACACAAATGAATATTTACTGCAAATCTCACCTAAAGTCAATATGACCTAAAGGCCTTAAATCAGGCTTAGTGATGTTATCTACATTTCTGACTATTCACTAATAATGCCAAGTTAACGTTAAAAATAGTTTTTACCTATTAGGTTAGGCACGTGCAGGAATTCAATGGCTACAAGGCTACATGGCATTAGGCTGGCTTTAGCCATATGATGAGGGAAACAAGAAAGTTCATTCTCCATAAGATCTGTTGTGTTTGGCAAAAATATTCTAAGCAAATCAGGAAGGCAAGTGCAGGGAAGGAAAAAAAGCACGCATACCTCCTCCTCCAGAATATCACAAGCCAAATGGATGCGGGACACGTCTACTTGATGGGGCTCTGATTTTAACTTCTTGGACCGTAAACTCCAAAGTTTTATACACGAGTTGTCAAACCCAGCTGCAAGCAGCTTGCTATCGGGGGAGATCTCTGCAGTGTTCAACAGCTGTTCTGTGTTATAGAAGGCATAGAAGCAGATGGTGGTGAGGGAGGGAGGCCCATCCTTGACACGCTTGATGCTCTCCTGCAAGACCTCCAGGGCAGCCTCATTCTGCAGAAGAGGGCTGGGCATGTCGGGAGGCTCTAAGCCGTTGCTCTCACTGCGGGAGGAGCTGCCGCTGGCATACAGCTGGTAGTCTGTTCTCTTGGCAGGCTGCACATCAAGATGAATATGTAAGGTGAGGACTTTGCACAGGGCAGTATTGTTGTCACTTTGGAGGTAGCGGATAAGGTAGTTGTAGCTGTCTTCTTGGAGACGGACCACGTACTTGTTATCTAGGAATGCTCGAAGCTTGAAGTTAGACAGGATGTCCTGGATGGTCTGAGTGGTCTGTAGCTGCTCGATGACATCCTTCTGGCTAGCATTCTGCAGAAACATTCCATGGAAGCGGCTGTAAAAACTTTCCACTGTGCTCTTCGGACTATTCTGGACCAAGTTGAGATGGAGGTAGACAAAGAGAGGATAGAGGAGAGGCATCACTTCGTGGCTATGCTGGGAATCAGAATCTATAATGAAAAAAAGTGGGGCTTTATAATCAGCATAATCTCATAGAATAAAGTGATCCCTCCTGGGGAACCCATCATCATATAACCCTGTATTGCCAGGATCCCACTGTTTGAGACTATTGGCTAAAACATAAGCCCAACATAGAATTCTGGAATTTCAAAGTCCTTTTGATTAAAGAAAGACGAGCATGAGGCTGGGTGCTGTGGCTCAAGTCTGTAGTCCCTGCACTTTGGGAGGTCGAGGTGAAAGGATTGCCTGAGCCCATGGGTTCGAGACCAGCCTGGGCAACTAGGCGAGACCTCATTTCTACAATAAATAGAAAAATTAGCCGGGCGTGGTAGTGCGCATCTGTAGTTCCGACTACTTGGAAGGCTGAGGCAGAAGGATCGCCTGAGCCCAGCGCGTCAAAGCTGGGGTGGCCATGAGTGTGCCACTGGGCGACAGAGTGAGACACCAACTCAAAAAAAAAAAAAAGAAAGAAGAGCATGAACTCTGAAGTCCAGCAAACCTGGGTTTGAAGTCAGTCACAAATCAAGAACTGAACCTCAAAAGGGTTAAGTGACTTGCCTAAGTGCTTACAACAATTTGGTAGCATGTACTCCAGGTCTTCAAAGTTTAGTGTTTTTTCCCCAATACATGAGTGTTTCTCAAACTGGGGCCCTCAGACCTCTGAAGGTCCCTGGAGACTTTTGAGTTCTTCACAGAAACTTTTTAACTTGGTGATAATCTAAAAAAACAACGAATACACAAGTATATTCAGAATTATCTGGATGGCCACTTAACGCATTCACGATCACTGACATGAAATTACGTCACTGAAAATTCTGTTCCTGGTTGCTGCTGACGTGAAATTACATCATTCCAAATTCTGTACTGGTTGTCACTGATGTGAATTTACATCTTTGCAAATTCTGTTTCTGAATAATATGTATTTAGTTTATAATCTGAATAAAAATACAAAGTACGTAGTGCTAGTCAAAGTGGTGTCTGAGGCAAATACTGGATATGTCTGCAACTTTCGGCTGTATTACGAAAAAGGTGACAATTTAGAAAACACCATTTCACTTATGCTTAACGACAGAAGTTTGCAGCAACCAGCTTCAGACTTTTTAAGATTTTTACCTGTTCTCTATATTAGGAAAGTGAAAAATTTGCCGATCGCGAATGTTTAACACATTCACTATCGGCAAATTTTTCACTTTCCTAATACAAGCAATTTTAGTGCTCTCGTTTGTGTCTTTTGATTACTTCTGGCATCTGTCATCTAAAGTAGAATCAAAGTATTTTATGTGGGTTCAGTAACATGTCTGGCTATACAGATTGGCATGTCCTAGCACAGAGATGACAGCATTCATCCATAGTTTTCCCATCAGTGTACTCATTTTGATTTCGTTGGTTAAAAAGTTACAATTGCAGTGATAATTTATAAAAGAGACATTTTTACGTCATTAAGACTAAACTACTTACTAATTTGAGACTTTAACATCATAAACTTATGAGAGAAAGAATGCTTTAAGTGTACAGCTTTAGTTCATGGGCTAATGAGAAAAGAAGGGTTATATCTGACACCTAGCTGAGTGTTCATGGCACTGGGAGCTGTGAGCTCAGTGGACTGAGGACCGAGAGCATGCTGTGAGGGAGCCAAGGTTTCAAGGTTAATCACACACACACAGTGGCGAGAGAGCAGGGCACCACAGGGCACCAACCCCCTAAGGGGAGCTGAGCCAAGACCAGCCTGCGTCCCAGTGGCCACTGCTGTCCAGGCATCTGTTTGCAGTAGAAAGTGATTCTGGCAAAATCCATCCATTACATTTACTTGCTGTTATTTTAAACTTTATTGCTTTTGGAGTTTTGCTTGTCCCTTATTTGCAATGATTTAGGCTTTGTACATAAATACAACAACATAAAGGTTTTATATCTAGCATAATGCTTATACATATTTAAATAAATGGAAATAAAAATGTCTTAAGTCAGTATTTACATTCTGTGAGCATTTTTTTCCCCTTGAAAAGGGATCCCGCACAGGGCTTAAGATTGAGGAAAACTACATTAGAGAATCTTGCCTCCCTAATTTGATGATAAATGATATCAGCATGTTACCTCTGCTTAACACTCTATTTCACTTTATCACAAGGTAAAAGAATCTGGATACCATGTGCATCTTAGAATAAATGTATTTCTACTCAGGTATCTATAGAAGAAGATGATCTTAAATCACAGTGACTCCACTGAAATGGAAATTAAGACCGCTACTCGGCCACTTTGGGCTCCTCATGCTTCTGGACAGAAGGGGAATCTTGGTGTGGGCTGGGTGACTGATCCTGACAACCAAGAGGAAACTTAACTACCACTATCAGTGGAGGTAAGGAAGAGTATGTCTGGCTTAGGGAGATCCCTTAGGGCATCTCAGAACCATGCTCTGTGACAGCAGTCAATGAAAACAACAATCCAATTCATGCAGGACCACTAATGGTCCAGACCCTTCAGGAACGAAGGTTTGGGTCACCCCACCAGGTAAACAAGCATGACCAGCTCAGGAGACTGCTGAGGGCAAAGGAAATACAGAATGAGTGATGGAAGAAGGCAGCTACACATACAGCTATCGCCATGTGACCAGGTACAGAAATAAGGAATGTAATTGTGACAAGTATTTTCTTATTTTGTCATGAATGTTTGTACATACCTATGTATAAATATATATTAAGCACTGAAAACTTGTGGAGGAAAAATATGCTCATTTAGGCTGAGGCAGGCTTAGATATGCTGTATCTTTCCCTAGTATCTTCCTTTGAGATTTCATCATTTCTTAAGATTTTAATTTGCACCTCCATGTAGCTGATGCTGAGTTCTTTATCATATGTCTGTATCCTCTTTTAAATTCTAGTCTTAAATTTCCTATTGCAAGCTAGACAGTAAGATACCATTGCCACAAGGATTTAAAAAATATAAACCTTCTGACTTACTTCCGTCCAATATAACTTTTTCCTTGTCTACTCTCAAAATCTGAATCATCTCACCCCCTCTTCCTCCTTTACGCCTGAGCCTTTGCAATTCTACCTTTGTAATTTAATTACGAAATCAGGACTCTGCCTTCCATTTCCACAGTATCGTTTCTCAAGAATTGCCATGAACTTTAACTAGTGAGTCAGTCTCCCAGTCATCACCTCTTACAAATCACTTTATAAACTGTTTTCAGACTAATATTCTGATCTGAAAACCCTGTTCTCAACAATGCTAGTTTCTTAGTTGTTCCTAAACAAAAAGTCACCATTTCTGTCCTTTTTTTCATGTTGTTCCACTGACACAAATCCTCTTTTTGTCTACTAGAAACCCAACCCATCTTTCAGGTGCTATCTCTTGCTCAGTAAAGCGTCCTCTAACTACCCCCATCTAAATCACTATCTCCATTCATTCCACATGCCTACACATTTGGTGTTCTACCATTGTGTTTTCCTCCTGAGACTGCATGCTCGATGAGGACAGGGATCCCATCAATTCATCTTATGACACTATCAATTCATCTTATGACAACATTGCACTTAACATAAACACAGGCTGGACGAATAAAGAGATAGGCTGAAGCTGAGCATGGTGGCTCACGCCTATGACCCCAGCACTTTAGAGACTGAGGTGAGAGGACTGCCTGAGCCCACAGGTTTGAGACCAGCCTGAGCAACATGCAAGACCTCATCCCTACAAGAAACCAAAAAACTAGCCGGGCGTGGTGGCACATGCCTGTAGTTCCAGCTACTTGGAAGGCTGAGGTGGAAGGATCACCTGAGCCCAGAAGGTTGAGGCTGCAGTGGCTGTGAACGTGTCACTGCACTCCAGCATGGGTGACAGAGTGAGACTCTGACTTGAAACAGAAAAAAAAGAAAGAGACACGCTGAAAGAGTGCAGGCATTTTTTTCTAAACTAGCTTCCTTGCCACTAGAATGGTAAGAAAAATCGATTATGAAGAGATAATAAAATCCTACTGATAATAAAAACTGAGTAAAATAACTTTCTAAAAACTGAGTTAAAATTTTTTTAAATTGCTTAAAGCCTCAAAACCAATGCCAATGACTAAAATTAACTCACTGTCTCCAAGTTTTTGCTTACCTCTGAATAAAACCCTTCATATTACAAATCCAATCTTTCTTTTTTTAATCCTTAGTTGAGAGGAATCACCGCTGAGATATTTAAGTCATAAATATGAGGAATTTAATAAAAAAAATTTTTTTACTGAACCTTTAATCTTTAAGATTTTTCGTTTTTGTAATTACTTTGCAGACTATTATCTACATATGAATTCTATCACTTGACAACTAACTGTAAGACTGATCAGATAACCCCCTTGAGGGTCTTATTTTGTAACCCTTACTTCTGTAACATTTTGACCACTTTCCCCAACTACAGACTATATAATACATGCAGGCTCTCTTTTAAATACTAACCATTATGGGAGCCAAAGAAAACCAGGATAACTCAAAGTGAATGTAAGGCTAAGCATATGAATTTGGTTTATATATTACCTTATATGCATCCTTATCCTTGAAAAACAGGGTTGTTCAAACAAGGAAAGAAAAATAAAACAAGCTCAAAGTTTTTAAACTATACTTTACCACAAACCCACAGAGGCTAATTCTTCTTAATCCTTTGAAGGCAGAAAAAGTTTTCTCTCTCTTACAATGGGTTTTGTACACAGAGGGTACTCAACAGAAGACTTTGATTAATAGCCAGACCCAACATGCTTTCTCTTACTGCAACCTTTCCAGCATTAAAATCACACCAGCCATCTTAGAACGGGAAGAGACTGTTTGATTTAGCCTTTCCACTGTCTTTTTCTTCTCACTCAAGAGGAAACTGAGGTCCCAGAGAGGATACGGGCCTCAATTTTTTTTTTTTTTTTGAGTTGAAGTCTCACTCAGTCGCCCAGGTTGGAGTGCAGTGGCATGCTCACGGCCACCGCAGCCTCGACCTGCTGGGCTCAGGTGATTCTTCCACTTCAGCCTTCCAAGTAGCTGGAACTACAGGCATGCGCCACCACACCCGGCTAATATTTTGATTTGTAGTAGAGACGAGGTCTCACCAAGTTGTCCAGGCTGGTCTCGAACCCCTGGACTCTGGCAATCCTCTTGCCTCCGCCTCCCAAAGTGCTTGGATTACAGGCATAAGCCACTGAGCCTGTCCAGTGACTCGATTTTTTAAGTGATTCATTTAAAAAGTCATACAGTGAGTCAGAAGTCTTATTTACTTGACTGTGTTTTAGTGGGCATTCTGCCATCCACAAACTAGTCTAAACTACAATTTCTAGTCTTTTGGCAGCTGATTCATGAGGGTAACTGACTTGCAAAAACTATTCTGAGATGGACTTTACCATTAGTAGAAATATCAATGTACATTTCCGATATGCTGCATTTAAGGATGCTTCTCTACATGGCTGACTCAGCTTCTCCCTATTCCACTTAAGTCACCGTGCTGAAGACCACTTGTAAAAGAGTGAATAAAACATCCAGAACCCTCGTCCCTGTAAACTGTCACTTCATGATTTAACTCTCTCAGGAATTCCAGCAGACCAAAAGTTTGAGTGTAAGAGCTGTGTTAAACTACCTCTGAATCCCAGTACCATGCTTGGAATATGGTAGGTTTTGAGGGAAGTTTGCATTACTCGATTTTTTCTTTTTTACTGTAATTCTTAGAAACAGATTCCTGCTCTGTCACCCAGGCTGGAGTGCAGTGGCATGATCACAGCTCACCTCAGCCTTGAACTCTTGTGCTAAGTGATCCTCTTGCCTCAGCATACATACAGAGTAGCTGGGACTACAGACGCCTGTGCCACCACAACCAGCCATTTTAAAAATGTTTTGTAGAGATGGGGGCTTGAACTCCTGGTCTCAAGCGATCCTTCCACCTCAGCCTCCCAAAGTGCTGCGATTACAGGTATAAGACACCACACCTGGCCAGTATTTCACTGCTTAAGAGAAGAAGGTTCCCAGTGCTGCATACTTACCAGTGAGGAAACTCCGCAGTCGTCCAAACTGTACTTCATATTGCTGGGGTTCTGCCTGACATGGGGCTGCAGACACGATGTTGGCACAACCAGATTCTGACTGGACTAAAAAGGAAAAGACACACAAGACAGGGGTGGGAAAGAGAAATATTAATCCAATGTATGGAAGGATGGACGGAGGAGGGCACTGTGTATGTGTCGACAGAAACAAACTGACATTTCAGCAGATTTTCAAAGCATGCAGGAAGGCCTGATTAAATATGACAGACTGACAACACCTGTAAGTCGTCCCTCCCTTCTGATGTCCAAAAGGAGGGTTGGGAAATGAAAAGGTATAAAGCACAGGATAAGCTGAAGGAGAGAGAACAGCTACAAAACAGAGTTGGAAGAGATTTATCTGGAAACATTTGACACTATGTTTAGATATTTTACAACAATGTGCCTTGGTGTTGGTTCACTGTCAATTGTGCTGGATGCTCAGTGGGCCCCTTCAATCTAATATTTAATGTTTACCAGTTCTGAGAAAGTTTCTTGAATCACTTTGATCATTCCCTGCTACTTTCTGAGACTCTTACAGTTTCAATGCTGGATCTCCTGAACTGATCCTTTAATTTTTTTTCTCTGACATTCCATTTCTTTGTTTTTTTGCTCTCTTAGAGGCTTCTTCACCTTTCAATCCTTCTACATATATATATATATATATATATATATATATATATATATACACACACACACATTTGAGACAGGGTCTAGCTCTGCCACCTAGGCTGGAGTATAGTGGAATGACCATAGCACACTGTAGCCTCAAGCTCCTGGGTCCAAGCAATCCTCCTGCCCCAGCCTATAGGTGCATACCACCACACATGGCTAATTTTAAAAATTTTTTTTGTAGCGACAGGGTCTCATTGTGTTGCCCAAGCTGGTCTTGAACTCCTAGGCTAAAGCAATTCTCCCATCTCAGTCTCCCAAAGTGCTGGGATTAAAGGCATGCACCACCATGCCTGAATTTCTATTGATTTTTATTTATTTATTTTTTTGAGTGAGAGTCTCACTCGGTCACCCAGGCTGGAGTACAGTGGCATAATCACGGCCACTACAGGCTCAACCTGCTGAGCTGAGGCGATCCTTCTGCCTCAGCCTTCCAAGTAGCTGGAACCACATCACCACCACGTCTGGCTAATCTTTTCTGATTTACTGTAGAGGTGAGGTCTTGCTAAATTGCCCAGGCTGGTCTCAAACTCCTGGGCTCAGGCAATCCTCTTGCCTCTGCCTCCTAAAGTGTTGGGATCACAGGCATGAGCCACCACACCCAACCCCGATTTTTATAATACCTAATGATTTTTCATTTTTATTAACAAGTATTTAATTGACAATTTTTCTTTGCTTCTTGAATGTTCTTTCTCTTTTTCCCAAATAGCATTATCTTCTTATTTGCATGCTATGATGATATGCTTGAAGTTTTCTTCTGTTCCTTTCAATCCATCTTTCTTATTAGATATGTTTCTTCTGGGGCCTTAGGGTCCCTGGCTGAGTGGAGGCACTCCAGGGCGATGAATGTTCTGGGTGATGCGGCTCATCACGTGGGATGACCTTGGCAGGCAATTCTCCAGCATCACTGTCTCTGGTCTTTTTCCTTGGGCAAGTCAGACTTGCCAGAGAAGGATCTTTTATGTGCTTCCTGGCTGCAGTGTTCTAGGTAGGTGAACGTGGGGAAGATGGCTGGAGTTTCAATATTCAGTATGTAAACACGCACTTAATCTTCTTCTGTGACTTCCTATTTTCTCAAAAGAAAACCCCAATTCCATCACCCTGCTTACAGGGTAAAGGTGGCCTTCCCCTTACTGGGGAAAGATGGACAGGCACTAAGAGATGCCACCTTTAACCTGAATGAAACATCAACTAGTGTCAGACAATGGAATATGGGTGGAAGAACAGTCATTAGCAGCAGGATGAAGGAATCCACACCCTAAAAGATGTTTAAAGGAAATACCGGTGAGAAAAAAGTCAAGGTCCGTTCCTAGAACTCGGAGACAGCCAGTGGCAGGGAGCCCTGCTGTTCGGCCCCACGTGGAAGGGCAGGCCGCCTCCCTCTACTCGGTGCCGCCTCCACCTTTAGCTGCTCAGGCACCAAGCCCTGCAGATGCTGGAAGGGGTCCTCTCTTCTCCAGTCCCACGACGACTCCCTCAGCTCAGGCTGTCCCTGCTTCTCATTAGGCTGCAGCTTCTAATTAGCTTCTGCAATGCTCATGCAGGCCCTTCCTAACCAACACTGTCGCCAGACTTTCTAAACCTCTTATCTGATAACTTGGATAACCTCATTCAACTTGTCCTCTGGTGAACACCTAATGATTTCTTTGAAACTCAGCTCATTCCTTCTGCTGTTTGCTGAAGCCCAACCATATGCCAAGAGTCATGAGACGTTTTGGGAGTCTTCCTAGACCTGCCAGCCTAATTCACATGAGTATCTTTTTTGCTCCCACTGAACTCCTCCTTCACAGAACTTTCTAGAGCACACTCTTCTACAGTCACTGACTATTCTGCTTCACTTCCTAACTGGAACACCTAGCTCCTCAGGAGCTAAGATCATACCTTAGCTATCTCTGGCACTTTTCTGCACTTGGCCTATAGCAGATGTTCAATAAATGACTGCTGGATAAAGATGTCATTCTTCAGATTATTCAGTTAACAGAAAGACCCAGGACAAAAGTCTTACAATAGTTATACCTCGTGTTTCTAATTTTTCCTGGTGGTTTTCCAGAGATGACACCAACTCTCCTAATCATTTACTAGGTCTAAACTAAGACAATTTAGAAGAGTAAAGCTCTAGAAGACTGCTTAATAGCATTCATTCCTACTTGCTATCCACAATGGCAAGTAATTACTGCCCCCGGGTTCCAATGGATGCAGGGCAGCAGATTATTTAAGCACATGAACGGCTATGATGGCAAATTCAGAATGCTTACTCTGTGGTGAGGAGGCCTCTGCAAGGTGACTGTTCTGCTAGAAACAATAAGCCACTCATTATTCTACACCATGGACATCACCTGGCCTTGTGTTGGTCAAGGGGATCCCTGTGGCATCTGAAGGAAAGGAAAACTGTGCAAAAATGACCGGAAGAGTATGAAGGCAGATTCCGTGTCTCAGAAAGACAGGACCCACTCCTGTGGGAGCGTCCCTGGGTTTTTAGTGTCCTGCCACTCTCTGCCAGCAGCAATGGTGACAAACCCTGGGTCCTTGACTTGGAAGGTAGTATGAAAAGAGGGAGCAGAGGAACTGCCGCTACCAGTATGGAGGACAGAACCATTAAGGAATGGAGTGGGTGATAAGAGATACTTGGAAAAGCCAGAGAAGTTTAGGAACAAAGGAGAGAGAAGGATCCCGTCTGGGTATATAAGGGGAGCCAGGGCACTGTTAACTCCACTTTCACAAGCAGCCATTAATGTGGTTTATAATAACCCTAAAGCATTGCAGGACGTTTTTCTCAAAATCTCCAGTACATAAATTCAATATAAGACAATCATATCACATAAAAACCTAAGATAGGTAAGCAACAATTTTAGTGCGCTCTCTATATCTATGGGATCAACATCCATGAATTCAACCAACTGTGAACCTAAAATATTCGAAAAAAAGAAAATTCCACAAAGTTCCAAAAAGCAAAATTTAGATTTGCTACACGCTGAGTACAACACTGAATCCACATGAAAGATGTGTAGGCATTGTGCTAAGTACTATAAGTAATCTAGAGATGATTTAAGTATGGGAGGATGCTTGTACACACATCCTACTATCCATGTTATATCGGGGACTTGAACATCCAGGGATTTTGGTACCCATGGGGGCTCCTGGAACTAATCTCCATGGAGAGTGAGGGATGACTGTACTTGTTATTCCAGATGAATCAACTCAAGTTAATTTCAAATATTTCCAACCACTTTTTCTGAGGTACTCATTCTCACAGCAAAACAGACCGCCACATATGAGCCTTTGTATGAGAGAGGGGACCAGTACAAGGAGAGGACAGAGACCCAGTCTCTGTGGGTCTTGTAGGACAACAGTTTACAGGAGGAAAATGTTGCACACACCATCAGGTACAGAGAAAATAATTTAAAAGTTCTGAAAGGAATTATGACTTTAGCCAGGGGATCCACAAGAGGTTTTAGAAGTGCCCTGTGAGCCAAATAGACAAAACAATTGTCAGCAAAAGAAACAAACTGGGAGGTATCACACTTCTGGACTTTAAACTTTATTGTAAGGCTACAATAATCAAAATGGCCTGGTATTTGTACAAGAACAGGCATACAGACCAATGGAACAGGACAGAGATTCCAGAAGCAAAACCTCAATTTCTCAACCAACTCATCTTCGACAAAGACTCCACCAACAGCCACTGTGGAGAGCAGAACCCATTCAGTAAATGGTACTGGGAAAATTGGCTGACCACATGAAGAACACTGAAACAGGACCCCTATCACCACATACAAAAAACAACTCTAAATGGATCAAAGACCTCAATGTAAAACCTCAAACTGTAAGAATCTTGGAAAACACAGGAGACACTCTTACAGAAACTGGAATAGGCAACCAATCTCTGATCAAAACCCAAAAGCCCAAGCCATAAGAGATAAGACAGACAAGTGGGACCTCATCCAACTGAAAAGCTTCTGCAAAGCCAAAGAAATCATCAAGAGAGTGGGGACACAGCCCACAGAATGGGAAAAAATATTTGCCAGCTGTATATCTGACAAAGGCCTAACATCCAGGGTCTACAAGGAACTCAAACATGCCAAAAGGAAAGAAACAAACAGCCCTATCAAAAAGTGGGCAAGAGATACGGATATACACCTCTCAAAAGAGATATACGAGCAGCCAACAGATACATGAAAAAAATGTTCAGCTTCACTAATCATCAAAGAAATGTAAATCAAAACCACACTGAGATACCACCTAATTTGTCAGGATGGCCATATTAATAACTCAAAAAACAACAGATGCTGGAAAGGATGTGGAGAAAAGGGAACACTTCTACACTGTTGGTGGGAATGCGAACTAGTACAACCTTTGTGGATAACAGTGTGGTGATTTCTAAAAGATCTAAAAATTGACCTTCCATTCGACCCAGCAATCCCCCTTCCGGAGAAACTCAAATCATTATATAAAAAAGATATCTGCACACTCACTGCAGCACTACTCATAACAGCAGAAACAGAACCAATCATGGTGCCCATCGAAAGTGGATTGGATTAAGAAAATGCGGTACATGCACAGTGAAATATCATGCAGCCATAAAGAACAAGATTATGGACTTTGCAGCAACTTGGATGGATTTAGAGTCTATCATACTCAGTGATCTATCATAGAAACAAAGAACTGAGTACCACATGTCCTCACCCATAAGTGGACCCTGAACACGTATTATACTACTACATGAAAGGAATTGGCAGGAGTGGGTCACTGCCAGGGGAAAGGGGGCACGTAACATTAATAAGGGCACCTGATCCCAAGCCAGGTGAAGGGAGGACCAAACTTCACCTGTACAATAACCACTTACGTTCCCAAACTTTAAATGTACCCCACATCTTTAACTTAAAAAAGTAAAATAAAATAAAAGCAGCAGCCTATGAGCATGGCTTTGAGGACTGTTCCTCTGAAGATAACATTCATCTGATGCCATTCACTGGAAGTTTTTTGGTTTTGTTTTTTTTGCGTTGGAGTCTCACTCTGTTGCCGGCGTGTAGTGGCACAATCCCAGCTTAGCACTGCCTTCAACTCCTGGGCTGGAGCGATTCTCCTGCCTCAGCCTCTGGAGTAGCTGGAACTTGTAGTCGTATCACATCCTGCCTGGCTAACTTCTTAATTTTTTGTAGTCAGGGTCTCGCGACGTTGCTCAGGTTGGTCTTGAATTCCTGGGCTCCAGCAGTCTTCCCACCTGGGCCTCCAAAAGTGCTGGAACTACAGACATGAGCCACTGCATCCAGCAATGTTTTGGACAGCCTGTTCTCTCTGGCACTATCTTGAGAAGAGACGCAACTTCACGTGGATACTGACATGAGTTCTTTTTTTCCAGGCTCCCCCACTCTCCAGGCTCCTTCCCATTACCTGTGAGATTGGCTGCCATCTCCTCAGCAGTCTGTGACAGTCGCAGACCTTGCTTCAGGGGTCCATCTGAGTCCACATACTGCCGGCGTTTGAGGTAGCAGGACACTGCCATCTGAATCTGCTCGGTGCGCACTCGTTTCATGACCTTGGGGGAAGAAGCAAAGGATGCAGAAACATCAGAGGCCTGGGTGATCTGACTGTGACATCAGGCCTAATTAAGGTGGGTAGTGGAGGAAGCCTGTGGCTGCATGCTAGCTACGAGGCCTCCGGATGCAAACCTAAGTTCCTTGATACCACCCCAGAACTCTCCCATTCTATTTTTTCCAGTGACAATGCAGCCAACATCAATTATGAAAATTAGAAGGCTAATAAATCCTATGGGTTGCCTCCAAACTCTTGTTTAATACCAAGATTTCAATCAGGCCTGTGGGACTTTTCATTACAGATGCCAACATGGCCAGCTGGATTTCAGGGCCTTTTATTTCTCCTGCCTGCTCTGTGAGAGAGGTGTTAATTAGCAGTGAACCAGCCAAAAAGCAGGCAGGAGGCAGCACAAAAACCTTCTCAAAGACCTGAGAAGTCCAGAAACCGGATAAACAGATGTTGACAAAGTATGAAGTTCATATTGGCGAAGGGAACTGTAATATTTTTTCTTTCTTTCTTTCTTTTGAGTCAGGGTCTCACTCTGTCATGCAGGATTGAGTGCAGTGGCACAATCACGACTCGGCTCACTGCAGCCGCGACCTCCTGGTCTCCAGTGATCCCCTGTCTCAGCCGCCTGAGTAGCTGGAATTACAAGTGGGTGCTACCATGCCTGGCTAATTTTTAATTTTTTTATAGAGATGAAGTTTTGCTATGTTGCCCTGGCTGGTCTTGAACTCCTGGGCTCAAGTAATCCACCTGCCTCAGCCTTCCAAAGTGCTGGGATTACAGGTGTGAGCCACCACGCCTGCTTATTTTTTCCTTTTTTTTGGAGTTGGAGTCTCACTCTGTCACCCAGACTGGAGTGTAGTGGCCGCTCCCGGTCACCGCAGCCTCGACCCACTGGGCTCCGGCGATCCTTCCGCCTCAGCCTTCCAAGTAGCTGGAACTACTGGCGCACGCTACCACGCCCGGCTCATTTTTTGATTTATTGTAGAGATGAGGTCTCGCCAAGATGCCCAGGTGGGTCTCGAACCCGCGGGCTCAGGCAATCCACTTACCTCGGCCTCCCAAAGTGCTGGGATTACAGGCTGAGCCACCGAGCCCGGCCCGCTTATTTTTTCTTAATGGAAAAGGCTACCAGCACTAAGGCATGCATTTGCAAAATGTGTTTCCATTTTAATCATATCATTTATCTCTTTCTCTCTTTATTTGAACACTGTTCAAAACAGTAAGAGAGTATGCATGCATGTTAGAATATGTTCTATAAATTCTTACGAGAAACTGGTGGGAAGTGAGCTGAACAGAGATAAATTATTTTGGGGTAATTCAAGCTAATTTGTGGGTTCACAAAAAAGAAAAGAAAAAGTAACAAAAGGGACTGTTTCCCTTTACTAAATTTACTATCAAGAACGACAGGAACCCCTACTACTGCCATGGCACTACTTTGCCAGAAATAAAGAACACTGCAGGCCAGATGACCAGTGACAGCTAGATGTCATGTAAAAAATACTTTCCAGATCTAAATATGGTGTCCATTTTGGAATGCATGCAACCTACCCATATACACATGATCATCACCACCAAAGCAACATACCCCAAATCTAGCTTTCCCAGCTATTTTGTGTGAGAGATCTGTTTTTGATCATTTATTTGGATGTGTTAATAAGTTTTCAGTTTCAGTTACATGCATTACTGTTTTCCTTTGAGAATTCTTCCATTCTTTTTATAAGATTTAAAATTCCATCCTTTCCAGAAATCTCTTATTTACTTTTTTCATTAAACATTAAAAAATTTTATTTGTACCTTATTTTCATCCATCTGCAATTTCTTTCTTTCTTTCTTTTTTTTGAGTTTGAGTCTCACTCTGTCGCCCAGACTGGAGTGCAGTGGCCGCTCCCAGCCACTGCAGCCTCGACCTGCTGGTCTCCGGCAATCCTTCCGCCTCAGCCTTCCAAGTAGCCGGAACTACAGCCATGCGCTACCACACCCGGCTAATTTTTTTATTTATTGTAGAGATGAGGTCTCACCAAGTTGCCCAGGCGGGTCTTGAACCCGCGGGCTCAGGCAATCCACTCACCTCAGCCTCCCAAAGCGCTGGGATTACAGGCCGAGTCACCGAGCCTGGCTGTGCAATTTCTTTTAGTGTTTGATGTGCGATGAAGAACTAAACATTTTACCCAGCGACTGTAGCTAACACATTGTCCCAATTTTCCTTCCAGACTGTGGTAGTCCTTTCAAAATACACTATGAAGACCTGTTTTGTTTTTTCTTTTTGAGTTGGAATCTCACCCTGTCACCCAGGTTGGAGTGCAGTGGCACAATCACGGCTCACTACAGCCTTGACCTCCTGGGCTCAGGCTCCTTCTGCCTCAGACTCCTAAGTAGTTGGGACTACATGCATGTACCACCACACCCAGCTAATATTTTGATTTTTCTACAGAGATGGGGTCTCCGTATGTTGCCTAGGCTGGTCTCAAACTCCTAGGTTCAAGTGATCTTCTCACCTTGGCCTCCAAGAGTGCTGAGATTACAAGTGTGAGCCACTGCGCCCGGCCAGAAGACCTACTTTTCAATTTCCTAAAAGTCATACAACAGGGCCAACAGTGAAGGCTGAAGACACACACAAGTAGATATATTTAAACATACAATGTTAGGACATCATACATAACTACGTGAACAGAAATATCATATTATCCGTGCATTTCATTGATGGATTGCCAAAAAGTATACAAAATATTTGTTAAAAAGAGGGCACTGGGTCTGATAAGGCTGCAGTTCAGTGATACACAATCATACATTTCCCAATACCAAGCTATCTTTTCACTGGAATTTGCCTTAGTTGGTTATGGTGTATTATTCTCTCACTGTAGTAATGGCTTAGCTGACTTTTTAACGAAGGCTTTAAAGCTAATACAAGGGATCTGATGCTTCTGAGGGCCCCCGCTCTCCACATGTACCGTCCATCCGTGAAGGCAGGACATGGTTTCTTCGTGGCCACTGGCCAGCATCAGTGGTTCTCTATGTCCACTAGCTTGGCCCCGCACAAGAATCCCCAATGAGCATGTCTGTGTATAAGTAATTTTGGTTCTGGAGATTCTGGTTGAGAGAAAAACAACTAAATGCATGCAGAGGCTGTGACAGTACTGCTCCTTCCCAGTGTGGACCAGAGTCAAGACTAGTCAATCCAACCAGTTTCCCTCACATCCCCATACCACCTGCTAAAGCTGCTTTTCTCTACCTTCAAGAGCTCCTGCCTCAAGACTCTCCAAAACCCGCCCGGTTCCACATCCTGGTGGAGACTAGCCTCTTTCCAGATGCCCTCCAGGTAGATCACGGGGACGCACCATGTACAGCGTGTCCATGTGACTCTACTCAGGCTGGGTCTCTCAGACTGCCTCTGACAGGAACAAACCCTGCAAAAGGCAAGAGACACACGACTGACTGCCAGGAAGAACGGGCCTGTAATGACAGTGTCCTCCAGGCGGGACAATGTGCATGCGTGTGTGCCTGAAGGAGGAGGGAAAAGACACGAAAGACAGGAAAGAAAACAGAATGGAGGAAGAACAGTATAAGAACTGGCCTTATTTGGGACTAGAAGCTAGTTTTATAAATGCTGATTCTGATAAATGCGCCCAAATGGCAGTTTCTCTGAATCTAAACCACCATGTAGGACAAGGACACTTCCCCGAGGGTGAGCAGTGAGCCAGCTATAGGGCCCTGGATTTTAAGGGCAGGAATTCTGGCAGCAACTCTCATACAGCCACGCAGAACTCAAATACCAGAGACATGAGCCAATCAACTTAGCTGGATCTTATTCCAGTGCACACATATTTCAAGTAAAATAAATAATTAATGAAAAGAGCTCCTTAGAGAAATCAGTCCTCCCCACCCAGACTGATTTCCATAGTACTGATATCCATAAATGGACATGAGAAGAAAAAAAAATAAACGCCTCAAAATAGACCCACATCTCTTGAGACGCATACACGAGACTAATACTGAAATTTCAAGGTACTGCCTAGCTTTCCCTACAATTACAAAATCTTTTACACTTAAATTGGGTTTGGATGTAATTGTAGTCTTTGTTAACATTTCAGAATTTCCCACAATTTTCCACTTACATAGGTTACTAACTTTTAAAGGTAAAAACACAGCAAGTACCCTCCTCCTCACATCACATTAGTATTTCTGGAAATTAAAACGAGGATCCTGACACAATGTGCATCCACTGCTCATGCACATCAGTTGCCTACTGTTCCACTGACACTTCAACAAAGCAGCTGAATAAAATCCCGGCATGATCATTTCCACGTAACAACTGTGCAGGAAAAACCACAGCCACCCTCTTAACATTCAACTACAGAAATGTGAGGAGGCAGACATACTCGGGACCTGGCCTGCTCTTGACATGGTGTCAGTGCTCTTAATTCCAGGCTGGTGCATCCCTTCAGCGGTTACATACTGCATCCTAGCCTTGCCTCTTAGGTTCCAGTGTATAGGTTGGTAACGGGGTGCTTGGGGAGTACTTAACCAAGTCACAGGTTAAGTACTACACAGTTGCATAAATGCCCACAGAGGATTACATGCCTCTCCCCCTCAGCCATCCTGCTGGCACCCACGAGGTGGCAGCTTTGCGTACGGAAGAGCTCAAGATAAATTCAGGCAAACTCACCACACAACCCTCAAAGTCCCTCAGTTGAGTCTGACAGCCGACCAGTTATTTTTCCTTGAGTAAATGCACTTTTTCCGATGGCAAATTTATACTTAAGAACAGAAGAAAAATTTATTTTTGTATTTTTTGTGAAGTGCCTACTAGGTACTCAAATATTAGTTCTCTTCTCTGCACTTGCAGTAATCAAAATGGTTGTACTATCTACCAATTAATGATCACGATGAAATCTATTCAATTAGCTTTGTGAAAATATAATCACAGCTGAAAAATAAACGAGCCACACCACTCACCGTTTCAGTCATACCTCCTATAATTTAAAAATCATTAGGGTCTTTCACATTCAGTCTTTGCTCAGACTGACAGTAACACACTTGGGCAGAAGCCGTGCCCTTTCCCACTGTGTCCTAAGAAAGGGAACAGCACATGAGCAAGGACAGAGCTAAGGCCCAGGCTGCAAGGTCGAGTCTGGGATTTTGGTGGCGGCAGAGGGGAGGCAGTCACAGAATCTGGCAGACAGATGTCACCAGAAACGGATTTTCTCCAGCATCAGCTGGGACCGCGGCAAGGTTCGGAAATTTATCCTCAGCAACCCCTTTCCCGACAGCTTGCCACCCCAGTCACTCCAAAGCCCCACTCACCCCTTGCCAGCCAGCCACTCTTGCCTCCAGCCT